TCGGCTCGGCTCCAGCGCCCGGCTCGGTATCGGGCGGTTCGGGGAAGCAGCGGCTGAGTAAGCGGATGAGCTCGTTCAACGGCTCTTCGCGACGCTCTTCGGACCTCACCGACGTCCGCGGCGACGCGGATTGCTACCCCCACCTGCTGTTGCGGAACCAGGGCCCGTTTGAGTGGACCGTGGAGCCACTCGTGAGTCTCATAAATCTGCGGTTGGAACGCGCACACGCTTTCGTGCGTCCCATAACTGGCCCGGTGGCCACCGGCGGTGCGCGGCCGCTGGACCTGGAGGACGTAATCGAGTTCGAGGCGCCTGAGAAGGCCATCGTGGAGATTAACTCCAAGGCGGACTGGCAGGCCGGGCATTTGGCAGGCACACCAGTGCAAATAACGGTGCCCCGGCCTGCCGGGCCCGTCTCGGCGATGAAAACCAAGTCCGCGACGGCTTCTCCGCTCGCAACCAAGCCCCCCACGGGACAGGGCGACCTGTTCCTGTCGGACCTAGCGGCCTCCAGCGGGCGCCGGTTCCCGAGCGGCGTGAGTTACGCGTCCGAGTCGGGAATGCGCGAGTCGCCGGTTGCAGCGTATACGGTGTGCAGTTTGGGCGCAGATCGCGTGAGTCGGTTGGGCTGTGAGTTAGCGCTGCTGACGACTGCGGAGAAGTTTTCGTTACAGGCGGCGCCGCTGGCGCTGCGTGTGCCGTTCCCGCGCGCGCGTGCAATGGAACACGTGTTTGTGAAGCAGGAGAAGACTCGCGGCCCAGCGGACCCGGCGGAGCAAGTGCTGCAGTGCACACACTTTGTGGCGCGCGTCGAAACCGAGCTGGTGCATGCCGTGAGTTTAGGCAGCGTGAGTTTGGACACGACGGACCCTCGCGCGTGGGTGACGGTGCCGCGTGTGCGTGTGACGTTGTTGCCGATGCTTCGCGTATTCAACTGCCTGCCGTTCCCCGTTTGGATCGCGGTGGACGAGGAGCCGCCGGCGTTGCTGTGTCGGCAGTTGGAGTATTCTCATTCAGCGCCGGCACTGCCTTTATACCTAAACCTGAGTCGGTCGGAGCAATTTGAAGGCCGTCAATTCTGCGTGCATCGAGGCGGGACGGGTGTTTTCGCCGTCTGGGCGCAGCCGCTGGAGGCGAGAGGCCAAGCCCAGGCTGGAGGAGTGGCCGGAGTAAATGCCCAGAGTGGCGTGGACGTCCAGAGGGGGGTGGGGAATGGGCCGTCTCGACTTGGTTCGCAGCCCCGGCTTGGGTCTTTGCCAGGCGAGGCGGTAGTGGGTCGGTTGGAGGAGACGGCGGTGACGATTTACGACGAACAAAACTTCGTAGCGTTGCAGGCGGTTGTCACAGTTTTCGCAGACCCGACGAGGACGGCACGATCGGCGTTGGTGATGACGTTACACGCGCCCTTGGTGATCTCGCAGTGGGCCGGCACGGGTGCGTGTCTAGGGATTTTGCGCCGACGTCGTGCGAAACCTGGACTGGCCGCGCGTTTGGTGAAGCGTGCGCCGGTCGACCTACCTGTGCGTCAGACGCACCATAAGGCCAGTCTGCTCGCACTCGGCGCAGACGACCTACTGGTCTTCACCGACGGCGCCGAACTCGAATCCGACGTGCGTGCGCCGGTCATCACCAATGCTCGCACGCGCAACGAAGAACGACGCCGCGAAACCATTGAAAAACTGCTCTGCTTCGCCACCGTCAGCCGCGAGCCGCGCACACCCGAACTTACCTACGAGCACTCCGTAGCCTTCACCGCCGCAGACCTCTTTGCACAGACGCACAAAGTGGAACTGCGCACACGCATGGGCAACCACTTCGCCATACTCACACACGACGCCGCAAAAGACGCGGCCGTATACCCCTTCTCCAACTCTCTGGACCTCGGCCCTCTCGGTGGCTGGGGTGGTCGGAATGCTGTTTCGGGTCGCAGTGTCGTTTCCGGTCTCGCTCCGGGTCCAGCACCCGCCACCGCGTCGGCTGTGAATTCTGCAACGGGCGTGGCGCGGGTGCGTTGTTACGTGGACACGGGGTCGCCCAACGCGCTCAAGTACTGTTCCGTATCGGTGGGAGCACGGTTGCCGGAGTCTTTCGCAGAGTTGTACCCCCCGGCCGCGTGCGGGCCGGCGTTTCTGCGTTCGTCGACGGTCAAGGTGGTGCCGAAGTACTGGGTGCTAAACCGGCGCAGCCGCGCGCTGACGTTGCAGTACAAGGGCCAGTTGTTGACGCTGCCCAGCAACTCCGTGTTGCCGGTATTGCTTCCACGAGACCCGTTGGTGCTGGACCCGCGCGACGAGACAGAGACGCAGCCGCGACTCACCGACGACTGGCTCTACGTGATGGTGGACTTGGAGAAGGTCAATGGAGTGCGTCTCTGCGATCTTGGTCCTGTGCCGCAGACGCTGGGTTACCTTCAGGGTCACCACTACGCCGCGTTTCTGCGCATTTCTGCAAGTGAAAGCGCGCTCTCTGCCATGACCACCGTGCTCATCGAGGATGCACAACCCGCCCAGAGCTATTACATCTGCAACGCCACCCGGCTGTACACGCTGAAGGTCTTCCAACCGGGCGCAAACGAACGTGCACACGCGTTTGCACAGGCGCGCGACGGCGCCGACGCGGAGAGCGCGGTACTTGCGCGCTCCTCGCCGGCGGGCAGCGTGCTGGCGGAGGAGCCCTCCGCGAGCGCGGCGCTCGCGCCGGTGCCCTCGACGATCTTCTGCGCGCCACGCGCGCGCGCACCGCGCGCGACGGCGACGCTGCCGCCATATGTGTTGATTGCGCCGGGCGAGACGGAGCCATACTTGCCGGCTTCGCTGCTGGCGCCAGAACAGACGGCGGCGGTGCTGCGTGTAGACGAGGGCTCGGCCTCGCCGGCGTTGCTCGAGCCGGAGTCGAAGACGGACCTCTTTTGCGGCGGACTTCTCGGACGGCGCGGCGAAGCGCCGCTGCCGGCAGGAGCTCTAACCCTGGGGACTGGTGCGGCTGCGCGCGACCTGATCCGGATTCTTGGACCCGGGATGGACGCGACGGTGGCGGTTCCGGACGCGGGGTTAGGTCCGAGCAACGCGGAGGAGACGCTGTATCTGGTGCTCAAAGACGCGCTGCTCTACTCGCTACTCGCGAGCATTGCTGGCCCACTCGGTCCTGGTCCTGGCCTGGTTGGTCCGGGACCGGGGCCCGGAACCGGGCCGTTGGGACTTGGGCTGGGGCTGTTGCGACAGAGCACGACGGCCGTGCCGTCGCGCGCAGAGCTCTACGAACAGGCCAGCGTCGCCAGCGCGCCCGCGGAGCCACGCGGCGGCTTCGCCGCGGTCGTGGACGCGGCCGGGTGCCTGCGTGTGCAGCTCTCAACGAGACTGTTGCCAGCACTCCTGCGTGCGTCGAATGTGGTTGTGAACAAAGTGCAGCAGAACTACTTGTTTTCGCAGGCGCATCTGAGCGGGACGAAGTCGGACAAGTACACGGTGCTCCTCACGACCACCCAGATGCACTGGCTGGCGCACCAGAGCCTCGACGCTCGCACACATGCATCCGGTGGCCCGCTGGACGCGCGTCTACAGCACGTACGCCGCCTCCTCGCAGACGGCCACTGTCTTCAGAGTGTCTTGCGCCGCGGCGCCTTCGTCCTCACCTTCCGGAATGCCTATGACCCCCAGGCGCAAACTAACCTTCTCAAGGCGCTCCGCAAGGGCACCAAACTCACCCTCGACCTCACCCGCCTCCGTCTCTGCCTTTATGCTGACCCACGACGACTCACCACCGACGACGCCGCCCAACTCCTCCAATCCGCCCTCTCCGACAAAGACCTCTCCACCGTCAGCCACGGCACCAGCGCCGAGGCCCCCCAAGGCGGCGAGACCGACCAAGGCGGCGAGACCGACCTAGGCGGAGACCCGAATAGACTTACCGCTAGACCGGCCGCGGAGTCGGGACCGCTCCCGACAGGACAACTCTCCCCCACTGAGGCGGGAACACACGGCACAGCAGAAGAGGGGGTCAGCAGCGTCGGCGGCATCGAGATTTGCTGCCAGAACGCCAGTCTCCAGCTGCACCTCTTTACACTCAACACCCTCGTTTCCGACTACCTGCGCGTCCTGCACGCGGTCATCGCCAATCGACTCAACGAGACCGACACCCGCAGACTCGTGCGCTCCATGCATCACCACAAGACCAAGTGGATGCTCGTCAACGCGGCCGCCAATCAACAGGAGCGCGCCGTGCTCAATTACCTCAAGCTTGGCGGACTCACCGTCTCCTTGTTCACCGAAAGCATCAAGTCCCTCCTGGTGCTCAAACTAAAGGAGTCCCACAAACCGAAACTACTCAAGAATCTGTCCAGCTGCTGCCAAACTACCGACGGGCACTCCGACTCACCCCGACGCTTCTTTGTTGAGTCGCACCACCCGCAGTTCACGACTGAAACCAGTGGTGGTGCGACGCACGAACCGCGAAACAGCATGAGCAACACCAGCGGACCCACCAACTTCGAGCCAAGACCTCAACGCGACGCCGCAGAGTATACAGTGAACGAACGCGCGAGACACAACAGATCCAACTTGGTGCTCTCCTCGACCTCGGACGGATCCAGTCTGGTTCACCGGTCAGATGGAATTGCCCCCCTCGTCAGCGTTAGCTTGCACGACAGCCCTCAGCTTGTGCCTGGCGTTGACCGCAGTGCCTCGGAACTCACGGATAGAATCGAACTCCGTCACCTCAGTCCAGATGAAACAGCTGGATCACATGTGCTCGGTTCCCAGATAAGAGCCCGTCATGAACAGATGCTGCGCGCTCGTGAGAACGACCGCGAAAAACAGAATCGGAGACGGAACGGAGAGATTACGGTGCGGTTAGACGTCGTGTTCGACCGGATGCGCCGTCTGGTGTACGTGAACGAATTCGTGCTTGGATTGAAACAACACACGTGCATTTCTCTGCATGTTCCTGTAGGTGTGTTGTTGCAAGTTAAAGAGTCTCTAATGAGACCGGTGTATGATGATTATATTCTTTGGAAGTCCAAGCAAGTAGCGGAGGAAATGCTGCATATGTTGTCTTTGCCAATAGTGACTAACAAGCTTTCTATCCACAACCTCACACTGAGCTCAATTCCTATAGAATTATCCGCGAATGCAATAGGTATGCCGAGGTTAAACAGGATTGTGGCGGCATCTTTGAACATAAACCAGTTGCACATCACGTTGCCGGAAATAAGTGTGAAAGATTTCTCAAGGAGTAACTGGAGGAAGCAGCTCCCCGTGTGGAAGGCGGTGAAGAATATACTTCTGGACACGGCCAAAAACATTGCTGGCATCATAAGCAAGCAGTATATAAACGTAATATCTCTGACAGCGATTGTCGTGGGACGCACGAAAAGCTCGGTGCCATGTGGCGGCGGCAACACAGGGTTTGTGAGACTCACGTTCCGTCAGTGGCCGGTCATGCGTTGTTGTTTTAGAGGTTGAAATTACTGTGGTACACGGTGACAAACAACGAGAGCCAAGTGAACCGCTTGCTGGAAGACCAGAGCCAACGATTTTGACTTTTTCTTATATATCACCAATTTTCCTTTGTGAGGTTCATTTGAAAAAATGAATGACTACACTTTGGAGCACAACGGATACAGCGACGTGCCTTACGCAGGGGAATCAATGATGTACCCCAACCCCGCGATGGAGGAGACGGTGTACGGTGTCTCCGAAGCAGGCGTGCAACAGCCGCTGTATAGGCAGGCGCCGGCTGCGTACGGCGGCCCTGCGCCGTTGTACCGAATGTCCGAGTACGAGGTGGCGCCACGAGTATACCGCCAGGTGCCTGCTCGGTACGGCGGCGGTCCGCTGGCGGGTGGCGGGCCCGTGGGTCCGGCGGTATACGAGAAGTATTCGAGTGGGACGGAGAGCGTGGACATGTCTGAGCGTGTCAAGAGTCGCTGCGACCAGTTGTCAGTGATCCTGATGATTGGATGCGTGGTGGGCTTGTTCTACATGTTGGTGAGTTCGTCATTTGAGGGGCGGATTGCGGCGTTGTCGCATCCGCTGAATTATCACGGTTATGCATGTGGCTGGGACGGGCCGGTGTCCCACCTGCCATATGTGTATTACCCGCTGGACCCGAAGGATGGGTCGCGGTTGCAGCTGTTGACAGAGCGACCGATGTGTGTGGAGCGGTGTCCGGGCGAGGAGGACGTGGCGAAGAAGGCGTACATTTCGATTTCGGACGCGCGTGCCGTGAATGTGGGTAAGAGTTTGGCGCTGGTGTCGTTGCTGCATTCTGTGCGTTCGCCGCTGTATGCGACTGAGGCGAACTCAGGCGGCTACTGTGTGCCCAAGGCGGGTGTGTTGCGCAGTCAGTTGCAGGCGCGCGTGACTCGGGCCACCTGGCTGCGTTCGGTGGCCTCGACAATTGTGCACACGGCGCCGGTCTGCGCGGCGGCCGCGGTGGTGGGTTGTGTGCTCTCGTATATACTGGGGGTAGGGCTTGTTTCGAACCCGCGCCTGTTCGGTAGCAACAGCTACCTTTTAGCCGCTGGACTGTTGGGCACGCACGGACTGCGCGTGCTGCTCACCTACCCGCGCACACAGATGCTGCCCGCGCTGCTCTGTCTCGGTGCGACAGCGGGCCTGCTCAGCACTCACCAAGTCGCACGCCTGCGCATCGGCCGGGCAGAACGGCTGCTTGAGGGACTGGCGGACATGCTGGAGACGCGCCGCAAGGAGGCGGAAATGTATGTCACGGCGGCGCAGTTGCTGCTGCTCGGTGTGGCCTACTCGGTCATCACGGCATTCTGCTTCTCGCAGACGGCACTCGACACCTCACAGGCGCCAATGATCGACTTCACGCTCGACCCAAATGGCGGGCTCCGCATCCAGCCGCTGGAAACGGTTGCGCGCTTCGCTGACCGGCGCGCGTTCTTCAAGCTGCTGCTGCTTGCTGCTTGCGGTCTAAGCATCATGGACTGCGCCGTAACCGCCTTCCGCGCAGTCTGCATGGCCGTGGTCAAGCACTCCCAGCTTCCGCCCGCGACCGACCGAAGTTCGGAAAGCGGCTGCGGCCGGCCCAGCTGCCGCGGCGCAGGTTGCGAGGACTGCGCGGCAGTCCAGGCGGGCGCAGCCGGCCTGGCGCCGGCGCCGGAGTTGGGGGGGACGGAGTTGTGGCTGGGTGCGGTGCAGGAGGTGTGTGACCGGGTGGGATCGGTATGGGCAGTGGCGGCAGTGCAGCGAGCGACAGGAGTGTGTGGGTGGGTTGCCGACATCTTGGCGCCCGCCTCGCCGTTTGCGGAGGCGATGGACCGCTGGAACTACGAGGGGAATTTGGTGGAGTTTGCATTCGATTCAGACACTTCGTTCACGCGCGCGGTGCAAAAAGCAGACGCCGTTGCGGCCACCGCTGCGGCTCAGCAGAGCCCCATCCTGGCGCTGCTCGGCACGGCGCGCTGGGCCACTCGCGGCGCCGCTTTGCTCGTGTTTGCCGCCGTCTTCGTCCCCACACACACTCTGATGCTCCTTCTCTGCGACCTAGATGGCGGTGCTCTCGCGCCCGCCGCACAGACGCCGCTCACCGCCAGCGCTGCCGTCGCCGCACTCACCGCCTACGTCGCACGACTCCGCCTACGCGGTCTGGACGCTACCGCAGACGCCGCGCTCTACCTCGCAGAACTGCGCCAGTGCCCACTCGCACAAGACGAAGTACTCCACGCCGTCCGGCAAGCCGCAGACTTCGACTAATAGACCGAAAGAAGTGACCCAGGGAACGCACCCGGCAGCGACTCGGCCGACCGCGATGACTTGACTGGACCAACTGACTGCTGTCCTGCGACCGAATGCTGGCAGGCGCGAGTGATCAGACTTGCCGGCAACAGCAGCTGTCTGAGGGTCAAGGGGCAAACTTATTTTGGGAACGAACGAAGGATGTTGGTAGGCGTCTGGCTGCTCAAAGCGTCGGTGCTGCTGCCACTGGGCCTGCTCTGCGTCGGCACAGTTGGTTGCACCGTGATCATCTCGCTTCAGATCGCGTTGCTCGTCTGCCTCTACAACGACAAACACGTCCGTAAACTTAAGGCAAAGCTGAATCACACCGTACCCCCCCCCTTTGGTACCTCCACCCACCCCCCGCACACCAGCCCCTTTGGTACCCCCCCCCCCCCCAATACCCTCCCGGTAAGCCGCAACCTCCCTCCCCTCAGACGTCGATAACGGAATACGCGGCAGTAGCATCTGAGTTGGACCGGAAGCTGGGACTGGACTTGTGGAAGAAGGACGTCAAGAGTCACGGCTACGACTTCCACCGCGTGCAGCTCTGGAGCAAGGCGCTATCTGTATATCTGGAGTCGAACGCGCTAGACCGCCTCTGCGAGGTCCTGCTGCAGTCACAGAAGAGCAATCATGGCGGGACTCTAAGCACGGCCGTCTACAGCTACACCTACTGGAACACCAAGGACTGCATCATTCAGTACCACAGACAACTCATCAAGTAATCATCACCCTTGTGTTACAGTGCCAACCATGGTCTCGATGATGGCCGCCCATACGCTCCCACCCTCTCCCGGCTTTCTTAGCCCAGTGTCCGTCCCCCTTGTCTTGATCCAGTATTGAGTAGGTGTTTGGAATACGTGACTGAGGCAATCTTGGCAGCGGACACTCCCAACTTAAAGGTCTTTTCGTTTGCTCACCAGTTCGGCCTCCTCTGGGGCAAATCTGTGTTGGCCATCCACGGCCGCCGGTCGAGCCTCTATTTCAACGTAAGATGCCACCGGGCACACCACCGGGCACACCACCGAGGCTTCGTTTGACCCGCGTTCGATCCACTTGACGCCCCTTTGCAGTACGGTGTGTGTAAAGGACTCCTCCACTTAAAATGCGTGCCGACTGTTATCTACGCCTCGGAAGCCAACTGCATCATCGCTGGCTGGCTCACGCTCAACGCAGACACGGGTGAAGACGATTTTAGAAAGGATGACGAGACCATGCTGCAGATCATCGCTACAATCCGACGGAAACACAAGGTCAGCTTCTCCACCTCATACGTTGACCCATTCATGCTGTTGACCTGTTTGCCTTCCGTCCTGCCCTCGGCCCTGCCCTTTACCCGTGCTTGGTAGTGGTACAATATGCGACAAAAAGATAGGAAAGGTTTGCTGGATCTTCTTTCGTCTCTCTTCGGAGACATCACTCTCCTCGAGAGTTATAACCTGTCGGGAAGACAGCTGAACCTAACTAACCAATTCAGACCGGACCAGCTGGTCGTAATGAATTACAAGTAAACCCCTTCCCCCGGCTTGGTCGCCCCCGTTTGGTCGTCACTCTCAATGTGTTGTTGCAGAACGTGCCCGGAGACGACGATGACAAGTGCGATCTTGACCTGTTTGTGCAGCGACATTTTGCAACCGACACCCATCCACACTGCGGCTGCCGCTAGCTGTTCCCACCACGGCAAGGAGCCGCTGGCGAGCTTGTGGGGCATTGTCCTCAGGGACGACGAGCGCCGCTGCTGGCTGCTGGACGAGGGGCACCTGGAACCCGGCTGTCCCCGCGACCAGCTGCTCGGGACTCCGGGTCGCGATCTCATCAACACGATGTACACCATTCGGCAGATGCTCCACGACACAAGTCTGCAGCTGCAGTGGACCATCTCCTCCACCGTCGGCTGGGCCTATCGAGCCGGCACCTGCTTCGGTCACAGTGCTGTCCAGTCCTCCTGCGTCACCACCGACGCGTCCGCAACCAGCCTCCTCGGCAGCAGCGCCGCGCCCGGCCACCACCGCAGCGCCATCTTCCACCACCCCCACATCAACGGTACCAAAATTGTCATTGCACCACCCAGAATCGTTTCTCCCCTCGATTATGTACGCTACGTCTGCTCCGAGGACTTTCAAATGGGTCAAGGGCTAAAACGTGCTTATCAGCACGCCTGTCTTGTCAAGTAGGTCCTGCACACCCGTGCAGCTCACACCTAAACTCGTGTGGTTCACATTCGGACTCGTGCGATTCACATTTGGACTCGTGCGACTCACACTCGGACTGGTGCGACTCACACGCGGACCAGTGAGACTCACATCAAGTCGCAGGGGGGCATCAAGGGCACGGGAGTCCGATATGGGACATTTGATTAGGATGCGTTTAGAGACTGAGCGAACGGTCCATATGTTGTTGGAGGCTTGTCAGATAGAGGCGGAAAGCAGTTAAAAAATGGGGAGTGACTGGGTGCCGGCAGGCGAGCGGGGGCTTTGGAAACGCGAAGGGACTCCGTGGCTGTGTTCCCGGGAAGGGCAGCTCTACTTCGAGGCCTTCCTGCCGGGCGTGACCCAGCCAGCCAGTCGCGTGTTGGGCATGAAGGACTGCGTCTGCCAGACAGATGAAAATGAGATGGAAAAGAACGGGAGCGCGGCGGAGAAGACCTCCAGCCTAGGAGTTGAAGCTGTTTTCGGGACATCCACGATGCAGGGAGTTCGGGAGCAGCAGGAAGACCGGTTTGCCGTATTGGCCGAGAGCTTTCTGCCGTCAGCGGACGTCAGGTCTTCCGCTGTCTTGGTGGCAGACGGCCACGTGGGGGCGACCACGGCCGAATTCGTGGCAGACCGACTGCCTTTGGAGCTGAAGCGGTGCATCCAGAAGCTTCTCGCCACGGCCCCCACGGCCACGCCCAAAAAGCGAGCGCTGCAGATACCGCCGTCCGATCCGTCGTGCCGGAAGTTGTTCAAAAGCGAGCATGTGCCGAACGACGCCGACCGGCGCCAGGCGGCCAGTGCTGCGGCCGCGGGCGACCAGCCTGTCAGTGACACTCCGGCTCGAACAGTTCCTGTCGGCGTGTGCAGTTGTGAGTACTCTGGAGAATACGGTTGCGACGGCGAGAATTGCAGGCCTGCTGGGCACCCGACATCAGCTGTGGATCCGGTTCGAGGTGTGGACCGAGACGGGAGTGAGGACCACCACACTGGAGACGGGGATAAGGCGGAAGGGGATAAGGCGGAAGTTGCGCCTGGAGAGAGCGAAAATCAAAACATTGGGGGAGCCAGTGGCGAAGTGTTGCGGGACAGTTTGCAGGCCGATCCGGTAGAAGACCTGTCGTCGAAATACCTGTCGCCGGCCGCTGACATTTTCGGCAAGTTGAGGGAGTGTGTAAAAGATTGCTATCTCAAGGTAGACTGTGAGTTCCTTCGGCTGTTCCGGACATCCAGGGCGGGAGCCACTTGTGCCACGGCTGTCATCCTGGGGGACGTCATGGCCGTCGCAAACGTGGGCGACACGCGCGTCGTCCTAGTCAAGAAAGAAGGACACGGAAAACTTGTAAGGCTCGTGCACACCATCGACTCACGCTAATCCATTGGCACCCACCGGACACCTCCTTCCGCAACTTGACGCTTCTAGGACGTTGAGAGACTCTCAGTGGACCACAAGCCGGGAGAGGAGGCCGAAAAAAAGCGGATAGAAGAGGTTGGAGGAATAGTAAAGTGTATTCGAGGATGCTTTCGGGTGTTCCCTAAACCTGCTGGCCCATCAGTAAGATCAGTCACTCACCAGGTCACGTGAATGTGTGCCTCACACGTGTGAGTGTGCGGCTCACGCTTGTGAATGTGCGCCTCACACTTGTGAGTGTGCACCTCACACTTGTGGATGTGCGCCTCACACTTGTGAGTGTGCGCCTCACACTTGTGGGTGTGCGTCTCACAACTCTGTGCTTCATCGCGACTGTTCCTTTTCCAGCCCAAGTTGGACCGAGGAGCCGTGGCGCTGGCTGTATCCCGAGCCTTCGGAGACCGCCCGCTCAAGACCGGGAACTTGGTTGTAGCGGAGCCGCACGCGATGGTGCGCCGGCTGACTCCTCAGGACCGTTGCCTCATCGTCGCTTCAGACGGGATTTGGGATGTGCTAACGGAGGAGGCTGCGGCCACGGTAGTGGACCAGTGGTACAAGGCCCGGGACGCCGACACGGCAGCGAAGACGCTGGTCAGACTGGCCTATCAACATGGAAGCCAGGTGAGCATTTGCGGCCGCGCGAAGATCGCCCACGCGAAGATGGCCCGCGAGGAGGGGGGGGGGGAGCACGAGGGTAAAGGACAAAAGAACGTAACTGCTGTACAGACACAACTAAACTTCTCCTCTTTAGGATAACATGACCTGTGTGGTCGTCTTCTTATATTTTTAGTGCCTTGTTCTGCCTAGTTCTCCGAGGTCGACTCAAGACTTGGTGTGCTCCCGTAAACGACCTACACAGCAGGCGGCATCATCAGAATAGATGGATTGCACGACCGGGCAGTGTAGGCATCACATAGACTGCCTCCACTCATACCGGCTGAATTAGAGCGTAGTTAGTGCCTCAGTTTCTCCAGCCTAGCGAGGAACGCCTTTTTGCTGAGAACTCCGGCGAGTCTTCCTTCTTCCGCAAAAATCATGTAGCTGAGTCCGAGTTGCACAAACAAGTGGTGGATATGACTAAGATTGTTGTCGGGGTGGGCAATCATCAGAACAGGGTGGACCAAATTGCTAAAGTCCAACGCGGAGCCATCGCTGTCGGCGGCGGTAAAGGAGACCGGGATTTGGCCGTACTCCAAAGACTGAAATGAACAAATGTTGTGGACCCAATGTTGTGGACCCAATGCTGTGTGAAGGAGGTGGCGGTTACAGCGAGGTTAATCTTGGCGACGGCCGCGCGAAGTTCCTTGCCGCTGACGACGCCTTTGACGATGCGGTTGTCGATGTCGCTGACGACGGGGTAGTGGGAGAAGGTGAAGTCGGTAAGGAGTGTAAGTATCCAACGGACGGTCCACTGTTGTGCGAGGCTGATGCAGACGACTTGGGCGGTCATGATGTCGCGCGCGTGAAGACCAAAGGCGATTTGGTGATCGGACTTGAGTGGGGTCATGTGCAGGAAGGGGAGCCGTTTGATCTCGATGGCGTCGTCGTAGATGGAGGGTTCGGTAATAAATTCGCTAACACCCTTAGCCACAAGTGTGACCAGCATGTAAGGCACAATGTAGGCCAATCCGCCGCTCATCTCGAACGCAATCACGACCATAGACACCGTCATGCGGCTAACACCACTTAGCACTGCAATAGCACCCAATAAACTGTAGGCTCCCGGGTGGATGCAGTCAACACACTTCATAAAACGCCAATACGTCTGGAATCCAATCGTCACATGTCCGATGATACGGCCCAACAAACTCCCCATTGTTAACGTCGGTACAAACAAGCCAGCCGGTACACATGTGCCGTAGGTCAACCACGCAGTCACACCGTACACAGAGAATGCCACAAACAACTGCAACATCAAAGACAAACTCGTGTTGTGGCCCACCGGCCCCAAGGCAACATCAAAGTCGATCGGCGTCACCATTTCCACATTCGGCACTGTCAACAACTCCTCGCCAGTTACGCCCGTACGAGCACACAAACCGAATATGTCCGCACCCGTCGTAGGATCCACCTGGCCACATCTCGAGAACAATTGCGACATACAAAAAATTGAAGACACGCGCAAGATCGGACACGCGTAGTTAAACACGTTCGCCAAGAAGCCCACGAAACATAGCTCACGCAACCCATCGCCTCCGTAAATAAACGACAAGAACGGTACTCTGCAAGAACGACTCCATCTGTGCCCCCCTTTGAGGGATCCCCTGAGTGATCTCCCTGAGTCATCTGTATCCGGGCTGATCGAGTCAAGTCCGGTTCTTAACGGCCGGGGGGGGGGGGGGGCGTGCTTACGAGATTTCTTTCTTACGGCACTTGATTCGGAAGAGGGTTAGGTGTTTGCATGCAATTATGTAAATGGCGCCCACGACACCTCCGAGGACGCCGATGACGAGGAACATGGGTATTTCTTTGACGCCCCAGGAGCCGCCGAGAGTGTCCAGTTGGAAGATGGTACCGTTGCCACTGCGGGCGCCGGAGACGTTTTTGAGTACGACGGCCGAGACCACGGCACAGAATAACGTCTTGTACAGCGTACTCGGCGGGAAGTAGGTGGAGACCTCCTCCAGGGCGAAGAGGACGCCACCCAGGGGAGCGCCGAAGGCGCTGGCGACACCCGCGGCACTGCCAGCGCTGATTAGCGCGTTGACTTTGCTCGGTTCGGCGGAGTAATTTTTCGGCGCGCGCGTGTGCACACGCGTGTGCGCGCTGGGTCGGTAGGAAAGAATCGACGCCCAGGCGGCGCCGATGTGTACCATGGGTCCTTCTTTGCCCAGACCTAGGCCGGAGGCGACGGAGAGCGCGAGCGCCAGCGTTTTGACGATGAGGGTCCAGGGATGCATGACGCGTTTGAGCCAGAAGCCGCCGAGGACCGTTTTGACCTCGGGAATGCCGGACCCTCCAGCTGCGGGGGCCAGTGCCAGGACGAGGACGCCGCCGGCGTACGCGAGGAAGGTGCCGATGCTGACGTACATCACCCAGTCGAGATGCTCGATCCAGAGTCCAGCTTCGCCGGCAATAAGCGCAGACCAGGATAACCAGGTAGCGCTCTGGTTCACGGTGTGTCCGACGGCGGCCGAGAGGTCGGCGCCGACGTCGGGTGCTATGCCGGCAGCTTGCAGGATGCCGGCAGGGCCCAGGTCGGTCAGCATGTTGGGTTTGAACTTGGTCACGGGACGGCAGCTGTTTCCGTAAATGTCCACTGCAGCCGGTGAACCGCAACAGAGTTCGCGATTCAGCCACGGTAGGCCTCGACAGAAGCCGAACTTTAGGTCGGACAAATGCTCGGCCACGAAACCGATCCAGGCAGCGCAGACGGCCGTCGCTACGCCCACCAGCGCCACCAACAGCCAGTCCTGATATGCACCCAGCCACTGCCAGCTCGAATCGCCTTCACCACCAGCGGCGCCGCACTCGCGACTGCCCTTACGCTCGTTCAGGATGCTGATCTCCTGCGTCTCCGTGTCAATGAACGCACCTGCACTCGGCGATGCCAACAACTCGTTCTTCATCCGATGGAACGCAATCGAACACCAACGTTTCCACTTCGAAGACTGGTCCTCCGCCGTCGGCCCCAACATGTGCTCGTGAGACGCCAAACCTGACGGTATCACGACGCCGCGACTCACAGCCTTCAAAGCCGCCTCCTCGTCCCAACTTGGCGACGTACTCCCCAACAGCGCTTCTTTCTCGCCCGCACTGCCACGCAATCTGTTCGTGATCACCACTGGTGCTGCCTATCCCATACGGTGGTTGGGTGGGTGGTCTGGTGGTGTGTGTTGTCTGGTGGTACGGTGTGGTATCCCGCTCGTGTGCCCTGTCCAGGGTGTGGGGCCTGTCCGGGGGGATCCTCACTCTGTGTCTGGCGTGCAGACGACGGAGCCCCTGAGGAGCATCATTTTTCAAAAGGGTTGCGTGCGTCTAAAATAGCCTGCAGGTCCTGCATGATGGCATCATGCACCTTCAGCTGCGCCACAGCCGGCCAGAGGAGATCGCAGTGGCTGCTGCCAGCCACCAGATTCATCTGGATGCGCGCCGGCCTGCCGCCCACCGCCTCGTACAGCGAGCACCGACGCGCTGCTGACTCGCTACGCTGGTCCAGCAGCCGCGTCTCTGTGAGCCCCACACACCGCTCCAGCAAGGCTTCCATGCCCCTCACTGATGGGAAACGGATGGAGAGGGAAACGGGTGGGAGGGAGACCGCAAGGGGTTGAGGGAGGCCAGAAAGGAGAGGGGAGGAGGGACTTACCAGTGTCGGCGATGTTGTCTTCGAGGCCTGCATAGATCTTGATGGGCGCGAACTGAGTGACCAGCTTCCCTACGTTGAGCTTCTCCGGCGGCGCGGCTCGGTCGCCAGGGGGGGCTGCGTCTCTGGGCCCTGCGGGGGCTCCGGTCGGGCTAGTTGCGGGTGCCCAGTGTTGTTGGATGAAGGCGCGGGAATCTGCGTTGTAGACCAGTTTCTCGCCGAGGAGGTGGCGGCCGTCCATGAGATCTTTCCAGAGTCGCATGTTGCGGCGAGTGGTCATTCCCGCGGGGGTGAGTCGGTAGGCGAGGTCGGCGACGCGTGAATGTAGCGGGAGCAGGTTGAAGCCGAGTACGAAGCGGACAAAGATGTGTCCGATGAAGCCGAGACGGACGTGCAGCATAGCCTGCAGCAGTTCGGTGCCGAGTACGATCCAATGGAGGTAGTCCCAGGTGGCGGTGCAGACGCGACCGCGCACGAAATCAGTTAGTCCGCTAAGACTCTCGAGCGCGAACGCTCGGATCACCAGTGGCGGGCTCAGCATCACCAGCCCCGTCGGGAACACCAACGGCGTAGCGCGCGGCTCCGAAAAGATCTCCGAACAACCCGCGCTCGCCCGCCGTCCCGGTCCGAACGACTCTGCCGCGCTTTCATCGAATTCCGGCTCCGCACTAGGTCCTGACTCAGGCATTGACGAGGACCCCGGCGCCGATGAGGACGGCGTCGAAGATCCGAACAACCGCGCCCGGAATGGCGGTGGGGCTCGGTAAGCCGCGTCGGAAACAGCTTCGTCCGGGGCCGGCGGAGCGGCCTCGTCGGGCGACTCGTCGGCTCTGGGGGTCGGGGCCGCGCGTGCCGTAGGTGCCGCAGCCCAGGCGCCGTCGGGGTGCGGTTCACGGTGCGCGGGTCGTGGCGCAGACGCCACGCTCTCCACGGAATGCGTGCGCGGGAGGGCGGCCTTGCCGCTGGCTGCGCGCACTTGGCGCAGTTTCCCGCGTCGGCGGCGCTGCTTGTCGGTTGTGCGACGGAGCACACGCGCGTGCGTGGCGGTCCACGGGTTGGCGGCCGCCGTCGGGGGTGGGTCGGGCTTGATGACCGTGCCTTCTGCGTCGTGTTTGAGACAGTTGGTGGTCGGGACCTCGCGCTGAGCCGCGACCGAGGGGAGAGGGAAGGCCGAGGGGAAGTCGGTGGCGGAAGCTCCGCCGGAGGCGGGGCCGGAGGCTCCCGGTGGTGCGGTCTGAGGCCAGTCCCAGACGGCGGTGGCGGTGGCGGAGAAGTCGTCTTGGGGCGAGAAGGTCAGGAGGGGCGCCGGAAGGACGTGGGCGAAGTGGTACTTGAGGGCGGCGTTGAGGGAAAAGACGGCGCTGCCTTGGCTGAAGCCGACGACGAGTGGGCCCCGGGTTGGACGTTTGCGGAGAGACGCTTGTCCGGGGGGTTCATAGATGCATTGATAGATGGCTTCGCAATCGAGCACGCTGGAATCGACGTGGGTCCAGTCTTCGTCCCAGTAGATGCGGAAGAGGCGGCGGAGATCCTTGAAGGCGAGTGGACGGAAGCCCATAGGGCGGTTAGTCTCGGTATTGAGGTTTACGCAGAACTCGTTGCCGCGCGTGTTGGTCATCCAGACATGGAGGTGGGGGCGTTCTTCGAGCAAACGCAGGGGCAGGCTCCAGCGGTAGCGCGCACGCGAAAGCGTGCGGTCGTAAGTGGGACGGAGGCAACGGTACTGCCGCAGTCCGTACTCCCATAGCCACTTCCATACCAAGATCCAACAGAAGCACACTCCCCACAGACGGCCCGTGATGTCCAGCGTAGGCACGTCCCCCAAGGCACTCCACAACGCAAGGACCCAACACATCGATGACTCCAACAAACCGTGCTGGAAAATCACCACTTCCGGCTCTCGCTCCGACGCGAGGGAGTCTTGTTCGAAAGAGTTCTGTTCGAGAGAGGCTTGTTCCAGAGACTTGCAGCAGTTCCTCTTGCGGGAGTTCTGATAATAGGCATCGCCGCCCTCCGGCTCCGTGCTAACTACATTGTCAATTCTCCTCCGGCCTCCACGACAATCCTGCGACAGGCTCGGGTCCTTCCAATCCCGGTCCTTCCAATCCCGGTCCTTCCAATCTCGGTCCTTCCAATCTCGGTCCTTCCAATCTCGGTCCTTCCAATCTCGGTCCTTCAGGCCCTCTGATAGATTGTGGTCTTCTGATAGACTGGGGTCTTCTGAAAGGTTGCGGCCTTGTGGGGGGTAGTGGTCTTCAGAACAGGGGGCCCAGTTGGCCTCCTCGCGATAGGCCGCGGGATCGCAGCCATAGACGACGGGGTCGCAGCGAGTGTGTTCCTGGCCGCCGCGAGTCGCATCCAGAAGCAGCGCAGCTTCCGGTGCGTGGGGCCACGAGAGCGCATGGCCCGCCCGTTCTGTGCGGCCTCCGTCAGTGCTTTGGGAATCGTCGCTCGATCGTCGGTTGCAGGGACACGGTCGGTCGCGGAAGGGTTGTGTGCAGAAGAGTAGGTAGAGGTAGGTGGAGACGGTGAAGGTGGTGACGCTCGGCAAATCCCGGGTGAGGGGGGCGGGTAGTTTGCGGAGACGGTGGTGGACGAGGAGGTAGTTGTCGAAGGTGACGACGCCCCTCCGTTCAGTCAAGTACTCGCCATTGGAGCCGACGAAGGTGAGTACCTGGTGTTGGTCCCAGGGCAGCGGCGTATCGTCGCCCACGCGTTGTGCGAGCACGGGACAGAGCTGCCAGTGGTGGTGCACCCAGGCCTCGACGCGGCCGCGGCAAACAGCCCACCAACACAGCTCATCGAAAGAGAGCGAGGAGGTGGCGGACTTCCCAATACCACACAATACAGCGGCGAGCTTCCGGACCCGCGGAAAACGTAGGCCCACGCCCTCACGGAAGGGCGGGTAGGTAGGTCCCGCGTTCGAATCCCGCTCCGGTACAGCCGCCAGGGGCGCAGTAGAGCGGGGCGAACGGGGCTTCGCCTCTTCACCGCTCGCGTTCGGGGGCCAACGCGGCGTGCTCGTGGTCGACAACGTTGGCGAGAGCGGCTCGCTCTTGAGCCAGGCGCCAGAGGCCTGTGGAGGAGGGGTCGTTTTATTCACCATCTGCGCATGTTCTGCACCTCTTTTTGTAACTTTTGCGAAAAATGGTTGCCGTAGTTACTACTGACCCGACTCCCTGCTCCGCTGCGCCGGCGAGCAGTCCTACCAAGCCTGGCTCGTCAACAGTGGTTGGAGCGGAGACTTTGGCCACGAGCACGGGTGCAGGCGCGAGTCCGACGTGTGCGGGGAAAGTCGCAGACGCGTCGCTGGCGGCTTTCGGCCGAGCCGAGATTGAGTTGGCCGAGCACGAGATGCCGGGGCTGATGGCGTTGCGCGCGCAGTATGGTACGACGCAACCGCTGGCGGGTGCGCAGATATCGGGGAGTTTGCACATGACGGTACAGACGGCCGTGTTAATTGAGACGTTGGCTGCGTTGGGTGCTGCGGTTCGTTGGTGTTCGTGTAACATCTTCTCTACCCAAGACCACGCAGCGGCGGCTGTCCAGGAGGGTGGAAAGGCAGCAGTGTTCGCTTGGAAGGGTGAGACGCAGTCGGAGTACTGGTGGTGCACGGCGCAGGCGTTGGACTGGGGAGTGGCGGCAGATGGTAGTGTAATGGGGCCTACACTGGTAGTGGACGACGGGAGCGACATGACGCTGCTGATTCACGAGGGGGTGCAGGCTGAGCTTGACTTCGAACGCACGGGTGTCAGATTGGATCCGAGCACAGCGGAGTCGGAAGATGAACGGGGGTTACGTGCACTTATCGCCAGCACACTCGAGAGTCAACCGACACGTTGGCGCACCATAGCCAATCGGCTCAAGGGTGTGAGCGAAGAGACAACCACCGGGGTCCACCGATTGGCGGAGATGGCTAAGGCGGGCAAGCTGCTCTTCCCCGCCATCAATGTCAATGACAGCGTAACCAAGTCCAAGTTCGACAACATATACGGCTGTCGCCACTCGCTACCAGATGGCATCATGCGGGCGACTGACGTCATGATCGGAGGCAAAAAGGCACTGGTGTGCGGCTTCGGTGACGTAGGTAAGGGTTGCGCTCAGGCCCTCAAGGGCTGCGGCGCACGTGTTTTTGTCACGGAAGTGGACCCCATCTGTGCTCTGCAAGCCTGCATGGAGGGTTACCAAGTGGTACGATTGGAAGACGTCGTGGAAGAAATGGACCTATTTGTCACATGCACCGGTAACCGTGACATCGTCACAGGCGAGATGATGGCTCGGATGAAGCACAACGCTATTGTTGGCAACATCGGGCACTTCGACAACGAAATCCAGGTGGCCGCACTCGAGAAAATGGGAGCCCAAAAAATCAACCTCAAACCGCAAGTTGACCGGTGGGTGTTCCCCCATGGCCGACAAATCATCCTATTAGCTGAAGGCAGATTACTCAACCTTGGCTGCGCCACCGGACACCCGTCATTCGTCATGTCTTGCAGTTTCACCAACCAAGTACTCGCTCAATTGGAACTCTGGCAACATCACGACGAATACAAAAACAAGGTTTACGTACTTCCTAAACACCTAGATGAAACTGTGGCTCGTCTGCATTTACCCAGCCTCGGCGCACACCTTACCACACTCACCGAACAGCAAGCAAAATACATCGGCGTACCAACCGACGGACCTTACAAACCCGACACCTATAGATACTGAATGGCACCGTACTAAATGGAACCCTCTGTGTGGGCACCCCATTCGCAACTAACCGACCAGTCTAATCCGACCTAACCCGTTCCGGACGTTTAGGCAGACAGTTTTACCCTTTTTTTGGATTGCTACCGGAAGAGTGGGTCGGAGTGGACATTTTTGAGAGGGCCGGGGAGGGGTCGAGCCGCACCGAGAGGGATTCGAACCGCCGCTAAACGGTTCTGTGGTTGTGTCCACCAAAAAAGACGAGGGAGAAAGCAGCAAAAGCTGGCTCTCCGCCGCTACAATGGACGCTGCAGTGAGTCAAGATCCTTTGCAAGTTGACAGCGTGATTGACGGGCAGTGGGTCGACACGCTGACACATGCGCTCGTCAAACCTGCTCCCACGTCAACTGCACCCGTGTCACGTGCACCCATGTCGGCCGCACCTATATCACGCGCGCACCGCGTCAACTGCATTCTTGTGAGCTGCGTACGGGCAGCTGCACTATATGTATATTTTTCGACGACCAGGCGGCCGACTAGCCGGTACCTGTACCTGTGGCCGACCAGTCAATACCTGTCGTATCCTGTTTGCTGAGGCCCGCGGATAAGAACCACAGCCGGGGCCTCGGGCAGTCAAGACCGCAGCGAGTGCCATAGTTGACTACATTATAAAGTGGGACTCCGCAAAGTTCCTGAACGCGTTTGTGGGGATGAGGGAAACGCCTGCTTTATCGGCCAGTGCGTTCTTCGCAAGTGGGCTGACCGTTGCATGGATGGCCACGACGTAGCACTGGCGATGGTCCGCGGCCTGTCGGAAGACCATGGAGATCGCGGAAGTGTGTGGTCTAAAGCACAAAGGTAGTGGTGGTCAGAGGGTGAACCGCAAAGGTAGTGAACCGCAAAGGTAGTGAACCGCAAAGGTAGTGAAGCACAAATGGTGAGGGGGCGGTGACTGTGGGAAGAGCGTAGTTACCCGATAGCGGTGGTGACGGAGGAGTCATGGTAGATGTGGTTGGCGAGTCCGTGTAGTGGCGCAATGAGGGGTGGCGGGGGGTGGGTGGCGGGACACTGGACTTTGCTGAACAGGAGGGGAATAGCAGGCGCGTCTGAGGTATATTCCGTGAGTTCGGGTATGTCTTGTGAGAAGTTGAGATTGGTAAGTGTGGGTTGTAGATCGACGCATCGGAAGTGTTGATGATCCGAGATATCGATGACGTTGTTAACGAAGCCATGTTCGTCCGTGGCAGTTTCCTGGTCGGGTGCGAACTTCCAGATGTCGTCAACGACGAACTTGTATGAGTGTTTGCCTCGTGGTAGTTCCAATGCAGTCACGAATTCGTGGCCAGCCTTAACCATTTTCACTCGCGCCGACCAGTCATTAAAGCTGCCCGTTAGGAACACCTCATGGCCGCCATGTGCCCATGTAAATACACACGAAACTAAGTCCTCACATACTGAACTGGTCGAAGAACTCCTCGCCTCTTCCGCCTCTGTCTCCACCGAAACACGCAACGGACCCATACCCAACACTTGCACAGCCTCCAACTCGTCCTCCTCCACCGCCCCTGCCGCGCTCTCTGCCTCCTCCTCCTCTTCTACCGTCCGACGCCGCATTATTATTTTACCGTAGCAGCCTTTACAACTACCCATTACACTATCAAAAGAAGCACCACTCTATCCACCAATAACTGCCACCTCGGAGGACCCAGCGGTGGCGGAACCGGGGAAGTAGAAGTGAAAGGCCATGCGGTTTCCGACACTCACCTTCGAGGAATTCCGGCATGCCGCGCTGTACATGTCATTGCGTAGTTTCCTGCTTGCGGAACAGGGCTTGCCTACTATCGATCATCTGTTAGTGAAGTGGTACGTGAAAGACGTCCTCCACACACCCGCGGCCGGTCCCGGGGCAGGACCGATGCGAGGCGGTTCGGCAGGCCAGCACATCAAGTACTTTGGTGCGCTGCAAACCATGATAAAGCAAGAACTCTTCCTGGTGACACACACCTCCGCCAGACAGGTACCCGGTGACCCCAACAGCGTACTCCGGGTCCTGAAACTTCACCCGCAAAACTGGCCACAACCCTTCCTACAACTGGACACCAAGTCGGAAACGCAACCTGAACCACACCCGGGAACGCAAACCTAGCATTGGACGAGACCCTGTACGAAACCCGGACAGGACCCCGTGTCCGAGACCTGGAGATGGAGATGGAATTTTAGGTCTAGACCCATCATATCCAGAGCCAGAGACCTGGGGATCTAAACCCAGTGTGCGCAAGGTGCACCATAAGATGACAGCGAGTGTCGCCTTGTTCGAGGAAGCTCGTCGGCTCTTGAAGAGGCCGTCGGAGTCGCGGAAACCGCACCGGGTGGGATCCAGAAGCCACCGGTGTGCGAACCATCGGGGCGGGAGTCATCGAGACAGGAGCCATGGAGGTGCGGGGAGTCGGCGTGCTACCAAAAGACCGGACCGGGTTTTGGAGACAGAGGAATGCTCGGACATGGAGATGCAAAGCCCGTCGACCGCAGATCAACAAGACCAAGAACACCAAGACTCGGGCACCTTCGGGCAACGAAATGGCGAGGACGTGCCAGTCTCCGTCGCTCGCTGCTGGCGAACACTGCGCTACCTGAACCTACCCACGAACTTTTACCGGTCAGCAAACAACGCGGAGCTGTCTTTCTTCGACGGACCGGCACCCAACGGTAATGTAGACATGACAGAAGGCACACCCTACCTGTCAGTCGCCACAAGCAACAGTCCTAGTCCAGACCGTCTTGAGAAAAAGAGACCTCTCCAGACAAATGCTAGGACTCGGGCCTTCACCAGAATGAAATTAAGGCAAATTATACTCTAACGCCGACACAGTACAAACAGTACCATGGCTGGCAAGCATGCGACGGAATTACGCACAACAAAACCCACAGTCGTGTGCCGGACTAATCACGTCATGCTAGACCAGTCGTGCTCATGCTGGACCAGTGATGTCCTGAAACCAGCCATGTGTTGGATAAGTTGGGTAAAACTCTAGCGACTGACCGCTCGTTCGGCCGCACCGATTTTTAGCCAATCGGTCTCACGTTGACCAACCCAGGGACCAACCCAGGGCCTGCGGGGATATTGTTTCATCCAGTGCTGGCCGGCTCGTCTTCGATGGCGCCGAAAAGAAACTCCATTAAAAGAGGAGATCATTGATATATTTTTTCCGACACGGTCGCATCCTTTTCATACTTCTGCAGGACTAGACGCAAGTGAATCGGACGGCGCTTCGCTTACTCTGTCCAATTTCGTTAAGGAGTTGCGTCACTTGGGTTTCGGCCAACTTTCGCCGTTGCCCCTTTTGTATAAGATCATGTTGCAAGTTTGACGCCCAAACGGTGAGATACATGAGAAAGAGACATTTCATCGGTCTTGCAGCAAACAGCACACGCGTGTGCGGCGGATCAATTGACGGCTTTTCGGCGCAACTATGGCGTTCACCAGTCCATTTTCTTGCTTGCCAGGTTCTCCTTTACCAAATACCATTGGAGAACCGCTGGAAAACATCGTACTGCTGAGTTCGCCAATTGCCGACCGAAAGATCGATCAATTCTAAAACTTTGCTTGTGCACTGCAGAAAAATGCGAATCAGTCACAGGGGGAAGGGGAGCCAGAAGGCCGGCCGGCGGGCCGGCGAATGAGGAAATGTTGGCTCGACTGCCGGGTGGGTATTGACCACCGTGAGGGGGTATTCACTAGCGGGTGTGGGTATAGACGTACTTGGTTTTGTGAAGCATTGATCATGAATCGATCTTTGATACCTTGTAAAGCTGCTTCAGGGTTTCCAGAGAAGCACGGCATTTTTGACGCTGCAAAGGGAAGATTAGTTGGAGTGAGGGGAAAGGAGGGTAGGGGAAAGGAGGGTAGGGGAAAGGAGGGTAGGGGAAGGGAGTGAATTTACCCGTGAACATCATTTCAACGATGAGGAGTATTCGTTCATAATATTTCCGGAGTTCAAGGAAGCCTTGGACCATGAGCTCCCTGAAGTACTCGAAGTTTTCAGAATCAGGTCCACCGATGATGGCCATGAGTTCCCCCGATAGTTTGAAGGGTGAAGTTTCGAAGTTGACATAGCCGGGTGAGTTGGTGAGCATGAAGCCGTAATCGATATGTAGTAGGCGGCCTTCGGCGGTGAGTAGGAGGTTGCCATTGTGTCGATCCTTGACCTGTAATAGGTAGCTGACCAGGGAGTATGCTGCGTGTGATTCTATGAAATTTTTCCGCGCTTTTTCTAGGTTGTCACTGAAGGCTGCTTCGAAGATTTTATGTAGACTGTCGATACCGAATTTTTGTTTGACGGCATCGATAGATTGGGTATCGGGTACGAATTCCATGATACCACAATTGGCACCCGTTACTAGAATCTCGTAAGGGTATAGCCAGAGGGGTAGGTCTGCGGTTTTGAAGACTTGTACAACGACTTGAATAAGTTGCGAGGCGAGTAATTCTTGGCGTACATCGTCTCCGCCTTTGACAAGCACTGCTCCACAGCGCCAGGTTTTGAATCGGCCGAAGGGGCTCTCTTTGCGTATGCGTTCTACTTTTTCTGCCCAGAGTTCGCCCCAAATAGCGCGTCGCAATCTCTTGGCCTGTTTCTCCGGCGTCTCATCTGGCAACTTCAGCTGTACCAACGACTTTCCGGCTGCCGGATCTGGGTCCAATTCTGTCTTGACTGCAGGTGTCGACTGCGCTGGTGAAGATGAACTAGAACCGGCTTCGCTCTTCTTACCCACGTCTAAAAAACCACTCGCCGTATACGGCCCGCCGGTACTGCTTTCCGGGACACCCGCCCCCTCAATCAATGGCGTCGAACGACACTCCTCAGTCGATTTGTTCGGACCCGTAGACGCAGAACGCACCAATGAACCCAATTTCTCACTCGGACTTATCTCCGACCCACGACGGCGCTGAATCACCACCGCTCCCCCTGTAGCCAACAATCCCACTGGCCGACTCAGTGACTCAGGATATGGCGGCACCACCGGCGCCGGCGACGCTCTTCGTGAACCAACACCCAGCGACCTTTTAATAGGATCGACAGGACTCTCGTTCTTAATCGCTTCGTAAAACACTTTCGTGCCACCGCAATATTCACAGACGAAGGAACAACCGGGATACATTGAACGACTCACAGGCCGCAAAGCTTCAGCCGACATACAGCCTGCTCTCTCCGGCTGCCTCGGACTAGGACTTGTCCCCGGCTGCGGACTCGCCGGACGAGGACTTGACGACGTACTCGAAACCACGCCCGCCAGATTCGGACTCGAACCGTTTATGGTCGGACTGGGTAGCGAAGGGTAACAGGCGATACAGCAAGTGGTATTCAACGCTGGATCGTTGATGATCTGCCACTCTTCCGACGTCAACGGCCGATCCAAAAAGGGCGGCACGTATAACTGGCGTTCGCGGAGCGTCGTCAAAATTGCATCGTAAACGTACATGTTGCTCCACTCAAATTTGAACTCGTTAATCACACCCATTTCTCGCTCCTCGTCTACTGAAGACTCCTCCTCACTCATCTCCGACGAGTACGACGAACTAGATGACGACCGCAGTCCGCCAACCGCCGCGTCCTTCACGCTACCCGCTTGGTCTCCCACGATGTCTAGACCGACACCGACCCCAGAACCTTCAGCTCTAGAACCTTCAGCTCTAGAACCTTCAGCCCCTGATACCGTCTGGTCTGGTTCACTTTTGTCTGCGTCGGGCGAGGCGTCTGCAGCAGTATCATGCTTAGTTTGTTGGCGCGCAAGTGTGTCTCGAGAGGGTCGTCGTTTTTTGTCTCTGCGTGGACGTTGAGTGAGTACGACAGTTTCGCCTCGTTTGTAACTCTGTAATCTCGTATTTTGGCTGCTGAGAGGTTGGTTACGTAGAGCACGTTCACTTTGTTTCTGTTTGACGGCTAGTGCGCGTTGGAGTGCGTGGATGGGAACGTCTTGGAGGTCTTCGTCAAGGTCTCCGAGTTCGAAGACGAGTAGGTAAGGTGCTCGTCGGCGGCTGCTGAAGACCTTGGCCTCCTCCACATTGACTCTGAGGACTTGGAGCGGGTTACCGATGGTACCTTGTGCACTTTGGGTAGGTGAGGTAGGCCGGATCAAAAAATCAGTATCGGAGGCCGCAGTTGAGCTGAAGCGAGCGAATGGCAGAGCGATACCGGTCATGCCAAAAACGCCTTCTGAAGCGGCAACCACACAACGCCGACAAAATAGCCACTCGTCCACCGACTCCAGGAACTTCTTAACTAGTTCCACACGCAACTTCCGATCTGGCTCCGCCGCAGCCTTGTTGCTCACCTCAATAATCGTCGTGATGAATCGGTCCAACGTATTAAAGTACTCACAACGCCGTTGAGGTGCGATCCATGGCTGCAACTCCCGGTTATTATGCAACACCCCGTGATACTCCTTTGCAAAAGACGCATACTGGAATGGCGTACCCATCTTCTGATATGCTGTCGGAATCTTCACCTTCGCACCAGGCACCATCACCCAATGACCGAACGTTATAAATCCCGGTGACACACGTGTTCTACGCGGAACTGCCTTCGACTCAAAAAGCTCAGAAGGAGACACCAACGACTCGTCCACACTCGTACGAGCCTCCAAAGCACCGCGCACGCTCCAAGACTCGCCGCCACCCAATGAACGGCGACCGCACATACGCCCCAAGTTGGTCACGCACTTTTGCACACTCGCCTCGTTCGAAGGCGTCCGATACCGAGCCAAGAATCCCACCAACCGGCCTACAAGAATCTACTTACTGTGGGAGGTGGAGGGGGGGACAGATCACCGGGGGGGACAGATCACCGGGGGGGTAGATCACCGGGGGGGGTAGATCACCGGGGGGGTAGATCACC